CAAATTGCAGGCATCCAAAACTTCTCTGAATTCTTCCATGTTTTGAACATCAGGAGGTCTGATGCCGTTTTTCTCTTCATATCCTAGGACCTGGTTGAAGTCACCACAAACCATCCATGGTAGATCTACCTGTCTGTACAAATAACGCATCATATCCCATGTTTTCCTCTTTTTTCCTTGCTCAGGCCAACCATAGACGCCTGTTAGCCTCCAGTTCTTCGCGGATTTGCCTCCTCTAAGAGGACATCAATGTAATGTCGTGAGCAGTCTTTAACTGTTACTTTCAATTCTTCTTTCCAAATGAGCAGCAGCCCTCCTGCTCTTCGTTTCGAACCTACACCCTTTCCTTGGGTCCAGCCCAAATCTGTCATTACCTTCTTCCATTCATGTTCCTGTTTTTTTGTTTTCATTAGGAAAACAAAGTTGGGATCCTTACGTTGGAGTAGCTCAGCTACTCTCCTAACTGTCATGGGGTTCCCCAGCCCACGACAGTTGAAACTTAGAACACTCATTGGGCTGGGCGACCCTGTTTCATCACAGGGACCGCCTCTCCGCCATCCTTTTCTGTTTTATTATTCTGGATATCCGACACTAGCCCTTCCGGGAAGACCAGGGTGCGAGCCTTTTTGGAATGCAAGGGTTCCTCCCTGTCTTGGTCTCCTCTCCCCCTTTCCTTTCCTGCATTCCTTTTCTGAGGAGTCACTTGAGAAGTTCCCCCCTCTCTTGGTCTTACTTGTTCCTGCCTTTTCCACACTTTCCCTCTAGGTGGCCATTTTGCCCCAACAGTCTGGTTTTCCATCAGTAAACGTTGCACAACACCCTTTTGTTTGTCGTTGATTATTATTTCAGGTGCTGCCGCTTTCTGCATTTCAGTGGCTTGTCCTGGGCTGCCTTTAGCTCCCTGATCCAGAGAGTCATCCGACTGGCCCGATGCCCCACTTCCCTGACTCTCCTTCATCAAGGTAACAAACAGGCTCCTTGCTATGCCCTTCTACTCCCTTCTGCACATCTTTCTCCAACTCTTGGAACTTTGGTTTAGTCTCCATTCTATCCACCTCTCCTGATTTTTCTGCCCCCAGATTTGAACCTATGCTTTCGATTTCAAACTTCTGTCTCAGCTGTCTCCACACTTCAGTATCCGCTCTTCTTGCCCCTGGTGATAACCATTTCCTCGGAGGAGGGGGGGCTGTTCTGAGTTCAAAACCAAATGGATCATACCCCAGATTGGAAGGTTGGGGGCACTTAACTTTGACGTGACCAATCCTTCCACAGGAATGGCAAAACAAGGGTAGTTTTTCATACTTTATTGGAAACTCCATCAGTTTTCCCCCTATATTAAGTTTCACCTTCTTCCTAAGGGGATTATTGATGGATGTATGGATTCTAATTCGCAGGTGGTCTTCCCACATCTTCACTGTACTGTCATCAAAGTGGACCAGCTCACCAAATCTCTTTGCTATTTTCTCAGCCATGGAGGTGGTCCTAAGCTCCGCAGGAAAGTTTTGGATCTGTATCCATATATCGAATTCGTGCAGGTCAGTTGGAACTGGCTTCCGAATCATCCAACTTGCTTTAAAGACTATGAGGCTGTTCTCATAGTGCCAGGGCCCTCCATAACAAACTTTGTTCCTGTCATCAAAGTCTAGAAACTGAAAAGCAAACATGTTATCTTGCAGATCTGTAATCTGAAAAGACTTCTTGAGGTTCCACGCTTTTGAAAGCGCTAGCTTCATTGACTTCAGATTCGGTTTTTTCTCTGATACTAGACGGCCATGAAGCCCCAGATGTCTCACCGCTTCCATTCGCACTACATCCACATCTCCATCTTCAACCTCAAGAGGATCCTCGTCATCCTCCTCCAAAGTTATCTTGTTCGGCTGATTCTCAATCTCCCCTATCTGGTTTAGATTATCTTTTGTTGAATCCTCCTCCACAGGTATCTCGTCGCTGTCTAGGGTTGCACCCATCCTCAAAACTCTGACCTGAGGTCTTTGGACCAAGACTTGGGAAGCACGTCTTCCTCGAGCGGCTCCTCGTCCAGGCTTTAAAAGAGATCACAGAAACTGTCGAAATAATAGAAGCTTTGGGAACGTTGAGAGAACTCTGAATCATGTGTTGTCCTTCGCAATCAGCTCTCGTTGAAATAGAGAACTCAGGAACGCTCAGAAACCTATCGGAAAACCTAAGGGTTTCCGCCGCCTTTCAAACCCTCGCTAAACGAGAGAAAAATAGACGCCAATCATTCATTTGCATGCAAAGGGAATTCAAAGGTGTGTTAACTTTATTAGATAACCATCGACCAAACTCAATCGATTATGTTTCCTCTCATATAAGCAGCGAATATGAACCTCCCTCAACCGTGCTAGAGAACTCATCCAACATAAGCGAATAGACACCATCACTCATATTAACACCTACCCATAGTAATGTATTGACCGGATTCCATAACATTTTCGATCACATACAAATCGGTAAATTATGATTTGACCATATCCATGGCTAGAGGCTCTTCTTCATCCGAATTGGAGAATCAATAATTACCCATAATGACAAACAAAAAAATGAGTGAACTTTTGATTCCCCTCCTCCCTTCCACAAAGGCAAAAGAAAGGTTAATAAAGGTGGGGAGCAAGTGAAAGGGTAAAGTGGGGGTCTCCCAAAGACTTTTGTGACCTTTTTTGGGAACACACAGACTTCCACTTCCCCAGAAGCCAGAAGCCAAACCACACCAAAATCCCTTTTCCCTTCCATTTCCATTACAGCCTCCGGTTTCTGGAAAACCAACCTCTCCATAATATAAAATGTCATCATCACTTGCTTACAACTTCTGCCCTTAGGCCACATTATTGTCACGCCTTCCTTTGCCGTTTTCGTGTCTCGTTTCTCCTTTCTTCCTTGTTTGCGGGTAAAAGACCAAGCCTCGTGGTTGTCATACTGAGGTTGTATGATGGGGGGTTGTTCGTTTTGGGTGGAATCTATTGAGATTTTCAATTCCATTGACACCAAAACCATCCATTTTGAGTAGTGGTCAAAACTCTGAACCGGTACATGTGTAATAACACTCGAGATTCTTGTAAATCTTTTTTTTTTATTGTGAAAGATTTGTTTTTTTCCCCTTAAATCGTCTGGGCATCATTTTATTGTAGCATATATGATATAGTTCATGGGTCGTGTAGCGTGTGGTGCGGCGCCATAGAAGAGATGTGCGCGACCATGTTTGTTGCATGACACAATAATAGGGCACGACCTTGATGATGTATATACGCAGACACTAGACAACCATTGATATGAGTCACGTGAGCGCGAGGAGAGTGAAAAATGTAAGTGACAATATCAAGGGGTGGTTTGTTAATAAGGTATTCGACTCGATGATTTCCAAATGATATTATATCTTGAATACATTGTTTTCATGTTCTTGGGGAAAACATCATGATTTTTTTGGTTCATCGTGTAATTTCAGAACTCCTGTGACCATAATATCTCAAATTCATTGGGTTGACCAAAGTATTTGAGATTTTATGTCGAATTATGTGGGTTTACCTTGAATTCGTGCATGTCAAACAATACATTTTGACTTTGCATGAGTTGTCACAACTCAACATACAACATACGTGAGTTCTCCAAATACATAAATTTTAAGTTACATACTTACCAAACAACCTCTTTGGTACCAAATGAATCGAGAATTCATTTCATTGTAAAATGAATTGCCGTGCAGAATTCATTCTCAAATGAAATTTTGTGTTTGGTATGTCATGTTCAAATCTTTAAAAATAAAATAAATTGTCATTAGAATTCATTGTCAAATGAATTCATGTGTTTGGTATGTCATATATATAAGTAATTTAGTTAATAAAAGGGTTATAGGTATAATATGCCCCTCTACTATGATGTTTTATCAAACATGCCCCTCTACTATTTTTTATAACAAACATGCCCCTGTACTTTGAAAAAAATATCAAACATGCCCTTATGTTAAGATTTCCATTGATAAAATCGTCAATCATGGTTGAACAGAGATTTAGACGACCCGACATCAGCAAATGGGAGCGAAAATGTCAGTTTTGTCTCCCTTTTTATTTCTCTGGGTCTCTTCAAAGTGAAATTATTTGAATTATTTGGCTATACAAAAGAACAAAAAAAATTCTAAAGTGAAATTATTAGGGATATTTTAGACATTTGGGCCGCACAAACCAAAGTTTGACCTTGGTTAACGGTTTTTGGATGGAAATTTAAACAAAATGGCATGTTTGATAATTTTTTCAAAGTACAGGGGCATGTTAGATGTAAAAAATAGTATAAGGGCATGTTTGATAAAACGTCATAATAGAGGGGCATATTATACCTATAACCCTTAATAAAAGAGGATAATTATATTCTATTAAAAATAGTAAATACTTGTGGAATTCATTTGGAAATTTCATCTCAATTCCTCGGAATTACTATAACTAGATCCAATTCTGTAGAATTCAAAATTTAGAATTGAAAATTAATTCTTTAAAAAAATCATTTAAAAATGAATTTCTCAAAACTTAAAATTTTAAAACAAAGTTATGAATAGAACGGTCAAACCAAGAAAGAGATGGGCCTCTCGCGCCCAAACCATGCAGTGGGTGTATAATCTTGGCTATTGTCAATTAGACGGCGTGAAAACATATACTATATTTTCGTCATACCAAATGGACAATTCTGAACCAGTCTAGAGTAAGTTGATCATCAAATGTTTATTTTACCAAAAACTTGCATATAATGTTAAGAATTCACCTTATCTTTGAATTGGAGTACAGAGATAAGGATAATCATGCTGACACACAATTAGTAATTATAACAATTTGATTTGGTTGTGTGAACTGTGAACCTGATAAATATAAGTGCATGTTTACAATTTTTTAGTCGTCCAGCCAATAACCACTATGCAGAGCGCAATGCATGAATACTTCACAACTTATTCTTTATGCATCACAATCATTTAACCACAAATTAAGCGACGACAAAAATAATATAAGCACGATCTAGTTTAGTAGAAGCCGATACAAAAACTTAAACAATATTCCACGCTCATCAATGTCTACATTCGAAATTTTCAACAACCGTCAAAATTCAACACACACGTTCGACACACACAGTGATTGAGAAAACCCTATATCGTATCGGCCAGTCGAACCGAAAATACCGAATACCGGACCCAAATCGATATCTGCAATTTCAGCACAGTTTGAAACTTTCTGAGTCACTGTTTCAATACGAAACACTCTACTGCGCCGACTCTTTTTTTTTCCGCGTATAACCTCCTCCACTACAGTTTCGCAATCCTTGCCGCGACACACGTACCCCCCACTAATCCGTTACCGGAACAACCGTACTCATCTGCAGCGCACTCACACCACCATCAACACCACCCTCCTCGCCGCCTTCGCCGACGGCGGCGAGGCGGTCGCCGGTCATCTGGTCGAGGACCAGGACCAGCCCCATGGCGAAGGCGCCATCGAAGCCGGGCCTGAGGCAGAGCCAGAACACGTCGCGGCCGAGCGTGACGCCGGTGGTGGGGTCCACCTTGCGCTTGATCTCCGCCGCGGGCTCCTTGGCCGTCGAGCCGGCGGCGGAGGAGTAGTAGACGGTGCAGGATCTGTGGACGTAGGAGCCTTCGATTTGGTACTCTTCCCCTGAATCGTTGTAGAGCTCTACCATCAGCGAGGATTGTCCGATTATGCTGGATTTGAACACCGTGAAGATGGGGCCGATCGCCGTTGACTCGCCGTCGGCAGCGGAGGAGGCGCCGTGGTTGGACCCGCCCTCGCCGAGGAAGCCTTCCCATCTGTTATGGAGACTTGGCTTCTGTGATAAGACACATGTACAATCCGAAGAGTCAAATTTTGTGTTATTACTTATAAAAGAAAAACATGAACATGTAATGACAAATTGTAATTTTTTTGGATTAGGCCAAAGTGAGATTAAGAAAAAAAATTGGCGTTCGAAGTCTAGTATGGCTAATATTAGTTACCAAATTGGATTTTTTTTGGAAACTTCTGGTCTAACATCTCAAAGATATACAACCATGTTAATTCAAGTGACGTGTCCATATCGCATCTTGAATTTCATATGCATATAGTAGGATTTACAAATCATCCGTTAATACTTACAAAATTTTATGTATCATTTACAAATGACCAACGTGCACATGTCAAACATATAATCGAACGTGTACTTTTAGACGTAGCGTAAGTCAAATATCTCATAACTCATTTGAAAACATTACATGCATACACCATAACATTTGTTTATGAACGATGCTTCACTAAATCAACGAGCTCGTTATACTTTTTGGTATGCTCTCATTCGTTGTAACATGTACACAAATGATAACATCCACCGCAACATCGATTCAAATCTTGGATTATGAAGTTAATCATAAATTAATTAATTACCAAAAACACATTCAACTATCTTTTTTTGTTTTTGTTTTGTTTTCATGGTTATTATTCAACTACCTCTCAACCAACTTAATAGTCAAGGAAAAACAGGGGAGAAAAGTGGGTGAAATTTCTAAGGCCAAAAAACAGAGAGCCCGAGGCAAAGAGACAAACATTAAACCACACTCTGTTTGCGGGTTTACAAATCACCAATGTGTAGGGATGACAATTTTGCCTATACTCATGGATTTTTTTACTATCCAACCCAATTGGGTTGAATATGAAATCCAAATAGATGGATATGGGTAAAATTTAATGGGTTTGTACCCATACCCATTTACTTTGGGTTGGGTTTATAATAAATGGATTTGGGTTTGTACCCATGCCAAATACAAATTACAGTTTGGTACCTAAACTTAATATATATGCATATTTAGTACCTAAATTTAATTTTTTTAATATAAGTCCTCAAAATATCGATGGAAAATTACGTTTTGGTACCTAAATTTTTTTGGTCTTACATTTTGGTGCCTAAAATTATCAAGTTTTACAAATAGGTCCAATTTTTGCATGTGTAGTTAAAACACCCTCAAGTAAATGGATATCCATATCCAACCCATACCCATTTAGATTATGGAAACAATATTCATACATTACCCAGACCCATATGCACTTCACCCATACCCAACCCATTGTCAATGGGTATACTTGGATTTGGGTATAATTACCCATGGGTGGGTAATTGCCATCCCTACCAACGTGCACATGTTAAACATATAATCGAGCGTGTACTTTAGACATATCGTAAGTCAAATATCTCATAACTCATTTGAAAACATTACATGCATACACAATAACATTTGTTTATGAATGATGCTTCACTAAATCAACGAGCTCGTTATACTTTTTGGTATGCTCTCATTCGTTGTAACATGTACACATATGATAACATCCACCGCAACATCGATTCAAATCTTGGATTATGAAGTTAATGATAAATTAATTAATTACCAAAAACACATTCAACTATCTTTTTGTTTTGTTTTCATGGTCATCATTCAACTACCTCTCAACCAACTTAATAGTCAAGGAAAAACAGGGGAGAAAATTGGGTGAAATTTCTAAGGCCAAAAAACAGAGAGCCCGAGGCAAAGAGACAAACATTAAACCACACTCTGTTTTCGTCTTATTACTAACCTTGCGCCGGAGGGTGAGGAGGCACTTGCCGGAAGCGTCCATGAGAACCAGCTCGTCTTTGGTCTCCGGCCCATAAGAATCGAACCGTAACAGAACCTCCCCGTTCGGGTCGTAAACCAGGAACCCATCCCCTGGGAAGAAAACCGACGTCTTCCTCACCGTCAGGCTCGTCTCCTCGCCGTAACAGAACTTCTCATCCACAATCGCCGCCGCCATTCAATGTTTTGCCCGCTACCCGTATTCAGATGGAGATAGAACGCCTGGGATTTGGGAGGAATCGGAGAAAAGTGGGGCGCTGCTCGTTTGGTTTTTGGCGTGGTGGAGAGATTTTGATTTGAGTGGTGTGGTTCCTCTGTTTTCTTCGTTTTGCGGGTTTGCTTTTGTTTGTTGTTTATTGTTTTGGGTGGTTTAGTGGTAATGAGCTAATTTAATTATAAATTTATAAGGGTGTCTGGTTAGATGGGTTCGGTTTGTAGAAATCCGAAGGTTCGGTTTGTAGAAATCCGAATTAGTCAATTGCTCAAAATCGAAATGAAACAGTTAAACGTTTAAAGGCTTTTGATTTACAGATAAAAGACATTTTTTTATCATAATAAACTGAAAATGAACATTTCAATGCACTGAGTTTATTGGCTTATTGACGATTTATTATTTTGACCAAAATCAAAATAGTTAGGATGATTGTCGATCTTTACCCGTCACGAGAAACCGATAAGTATATGGAACCGATTCGATTTTGGTTAAAACTGAAAATCGAACCGCCACCCTAGTTAATTAGGTGGGTTACTTAGAATTTGTGTGATAATTGTGTAATTATGATATGATGGGTTAGTGGGCCTGCTAGTGGGTCGATTGCTACTTTGGATTGGTATGGGTTTTTTTTGTATATAATAATAATAATAATAATAATAATAATAATAATAATAATAATAATTTGACGCATTAAAACGTGGCAGAGGTTGGTTCAGCACTTCAGCTGTTGCACCGCCGCTTGCTTTAGAGACCGATTATAGTGAAGATCCAATTAAGGAATTACAACAATGGAAATGCAGTGCAGGTAAGAGTACACTACTCTACGTGGGTTAGCAAACAAAACAACTGTTTTATTTTAATGTGTAACGGGTGCCTTATCTCTCACATTTTTATATATTGTATATAGTGATTCTTGGCAGGTCTGATCGTACTTACGTTTCGTTCGTTCGATATTTTTGTGATTGTGAGAAATCGTTGAAAGGTGATAGTAAATTTTAATGATTTTACATTTGGATGATCAAGTATACAGTTAGGAACACCCTCAATAACGTACTGTGTCTATTGTCATGGTATATCTAACGTAACATGAGTCAATGAGCGAGAGTCTATTTTATCTGGACGACGAGTCACAAAAGCCAGTAAAAATAAAAACAACACCAGGGATATGCACAGTGGGCTAGCGAAATGTTGCTCGGAAACAGAGCAACCCAACTTTATTTCATTTTATAACAACCCTGATCTTGTGGACGATATCACACCACGCGAAGCAACATCGAAACGAGATGTGACAATCAAAACCAACACAAACAATGACTTTTTTCCTTTATTTCCTTTGGCAACAAATGAATGGTTGATTAGATGGAAGGATTGCATAAGAGCCAATAGTACTAACTACCACAATAGCACTAGAGGCTTCAATAGTTTCACAACGACAACTTAATTTTCTGTGGGCTATTGATCTTATCTTCTGGACGATATGAATGCCCGAGGCTTTATGGAAACTGAAATGGACAAAGGTGGACCAAAAGCACACAAGGGGAGACAAATTTTTGTTTCGGTGATGTTTGATGTAAATCGCAGGCGGCGACGGACGGCCGATGGAGGCAAAGGAAGAATACATGGAATAATTAAAAAGCGGGACCCTCCAAATTTGGTGTACTAGTATTACCTACATTACATACCTCCGTGTTGATTTTGTTGATGATTTTAAAGGTCATTGATTTCTATGTGTACTAGTATTATCTACATTACATAACATCAATGGTTTCTTATGTGCAAACGCGTTGGTTCGGATCAGATCAAACCGATATTTGAAACGGATCGAATATATATTAAAGATAAATGAGTCGAATTGATATTTGATCCGGAACAAATCCAATAATTGTTCAATCCTTGGTCCCAAGATTTTTTTACTATTGTCAATACTCTAACTAAATCTACACATCTTATCTTATCTTATCTTACTATATATTATGGTTGTTCAAAAACAACTTCTTGCCACATAAGCACTTGGAGAATTCACAAGTTGCCAAGGTGGACAATTTTTGTACAAACAAAAAAATTAGTTAATGAGCTATTTATGGAGTTATCTCTCTCTTCTTTTAATGATGTTTTCTTTTATTCAATAATTCTTTTTAGTTTTCATATTATATCTATGTTTGTAGAAAAAGACTAATGTTTGTAGAGTGATATATCACATTTAGTTAAACAAAAAATATATTATTAAACTTGATCAAATAAATTTTCTACTATTTTTTACTGAAAGTAAATAATAAGTTATATGTTATTGACAATTTTAAACAAACACACACATAAATAATAATATTTTTATCGATTAAACAAAATATAACGATGGAAATAGAGAAAATAACTGTTAGAAAATCAATCTACATAAAAAAATGAACTATGTTATTTTATATTTTTGGCTATTAAACACTCTCTTATTTAGAGATGACAACCAAACCCATGGTCGCAGGTACCCAACCGTCTCCGACCCAGTCAATACGAGAAATCTCCGCATTGATTGGGTATGGGGAAAACCCGCAAATTTTTTGATGGAGATGGGCGGATATGCTTTTGAAATCCCCATCCCCATACCCAAACCCGCCCCACCGAGGATATTATGTTATATGCAGAAAATATAACATCCACTTATGTAATTGGTGACAACCAAACCGTAATTTCATCCACTTATGTATCAGTTCCATAATTTTGGGCAGGTAGCACCCATATTTTTTACATACTTTTTATGGTGAGTAGCTGATGGGGCGGGTATTACCCATGGCCATGGGTATCTGAAAACCTCGGGTATGGAGATGAGTTTGTAAAACCTTCCACCGTATGGGTTAAGGGCGAGTATGAGTTTAGGTATTTGAAAATGGGGATGGTGATGGTTTAGGCAAATCCACCCCATTGTTATCCCTTCTCTTATTTCTAATTAATATATGTATAAAATAAAATAAGTATTATATAGTAAAAGGTCTGGATAGAAACTTGATATGTACACGTATTATATGGCACGTGAGTGTTGGAGAAATCTTTGTTGACGATGTACGAGCTGGGGATGGGATTAGGTGCTAACCCTTATAGGGGGGTTAGAACCGTGATAACTAGCAAAAAACGCTACTAAAAACAACGAAATCACTACGGATTATTATAAAATCAATACAACATCTAAGTAAATCACTACTAACTCTTGGTTAGGACGGTGCTAACTCTTGTACAATTAGCACCATAACCAGTCCCACGATGTACGATAAACATTATGTTTCATCAACCACTAACTTAGCATTAATCAAACACGGTTGACAATTTTTGTTTAGTAGTTGAATGTCTTCTACATTAAAGGCCTTTATAGTTAGAAGACTCTAAACCGAGCTATTAGGTTAAAAATGAAGAATCTTTATAAGCATGAGATCAACAAGGCAATTCTAATAAGTCATTTGGTTGCATGGTTGTGAGTATCCATACCAAATTTTGGCAATAAAAAAAGATTTTACCATATCAAAATGTCAAAAACAAAAATGTTAGTTTGTAACCGTAAGCAATATGTATATAGATCGAGTTATCATATCCACAAAATTTTGTTGCGTATTCCATTGAACGAGGTGTGTTCAAAGGTCTTAATTAGAGTTACAAAACAAAGTAAACTCTTTATATACGTTTAGATATTAACAATAGATGTGTCTATAATACATCCAAGAATTCATCCGTGTGAAATGTCACAATGTTTGTATGAGTTTTTTTTTGGGTAAATACAATATATTATCCATAACTATTAAGTAGCAGGGAATTATAGCCACAATTATCGAAATACAAATTATTAGCCATAACTATTGTTGTGGGTCAAGATTTGGCTAACAGCCCGTTACTGGTTTCAAATTTTTAACGTAGAAGGCCATGTCAGTATCGTAAAAAATATGATATGATGACTGCCACGTGGGAGCCAGCTCACCATCGTAAAAGTTTAGTCATCATTACTAACAGAAGTGTTAACGAAAATTTAACGATTGGCTAATAATTTGTATTTCGATAGTTGTGGCTATGATTCCCCGCTGCTTGATAGTTATGGATAATATATTGTATTTGCCCTTTTTTTTTAAATCAACTTTGTCAAAAAAATAATAATTTAATTTTTAAATGATACGACGTTTTTAATGCACCTATATCTATGTGCATTGTATTTGTTGACATGATTTATCTATTACTAAGATATATAATGCATATTTTTGTTCTAGAAGTAACACAAAAAATAAGGAAAATTTTGCAAATGCACATTAAAAAAGTTGGAACGTTATACACTAAAGGATCATGTTAAGACGAGAACCCTTGAAAGTGTGTGAGAGTGTCTTGGTTTGAGATTCTTACAAGCCAACATGTAGACAACAACCATGGGTTGAAGGTTACTACAAATTTCAAGAATTAGCAATTGGCACAAATTTAGTAAATAAAATTTAATAGCTATACTTTCAGAATTTTCAATATTTTAACCAAATCTTTTGTGTCACATCAAAATATTAATCATTTTTCTTTTATTTTTAATAATTTTTTAAATATTTTCTTAATTAAAATACAAATTTTTTTGAAAGGTATAACTATTAAAATTTGCTAACAAAAATACTAACGAGGAGTTAACGTTTGGCTAATACTTTGTGTTTTGAAAGTTATGGCTGATAATTTTAAAGTTTGAAAGATTTGGTTAATAAATTGTATTTACACTGAGTGTCTTGATAGACAAATTTTGACATAAGACCCTCAACAGATATTTAACACATAAAAATGAGTCAAAATTAGATAATTTGATCATCGTAAGGAGTATGGCGTGTGTCAAGTTTCACTTGGAATAAACACATTTTATCCAATAATCAAGTATTTCTATCCAATAATTTGGACTCTTAATAATTGTTTGAGAGTTTGTCATAACTCGAGAATCATGAATTGTTATATGTTTTATAATATTAGAAATTTGAGTGTCTTGGTTGACAAACTTTTGTATATATTCTAAATGTAACGTGATAAACCTTTAAAATATAATTTATCATTGGAGAATCGAAACCTATAAACATCATAGGTGGCTGTGCTAAATATTGAGAATTTTTAAT